GGCTCCTAGGTCATCACTTTCACCATCATACCACACGGCCTCTTATATTGATTATTTCAAATGTAGATTTGGCTGTATTTGGCAAAGGACTTAAATAAATGTGCAATCTCAACAAAGGCAGTGGAGCAGCAGACAAAGCCATCCTGTCTGCTGCTGCTTCTGTCTTTAGCATTAGCAACACGATAGGCCCTTTCCTTGGTCACAGCTTACATTTAACTGAGGGACGTAAAAACAACTTTGATACTTATCAATGCCCACAAGTAGCGTCACTGAAATCTACTTCCAGCTTCGGACCAGTTTACACTACTGTAGTTGCAAAGGTGAAATAGGCACACAGTTTTTGCATGCGCTTCGAGTCCTCCCTCTTGTGGTCAAAACCATGCGCTTGCCTCCTGTCCGTAGATGGTATCTCTCTCTGCCTTTAGGTTAACTTGCTGGCACTTGCTTTTTCCCTGCCTTTCTTCCAAGTTGGTCCTTACATACAGAAAACTTGACAGGGTTTGTATCAACCTATGAGTTTCCTTTATCTGATATTGGGGAAAACGAAACTTTAACTGGACGCTCATAAGTAAGATGCTTTGGTCTCTTGACTTACTAATTTCTAAATAATTTTGTTTTGTTTTAAAAGATAGTGATAGTGCTCCTGTACGGTTGCAGTAAGTAGGCAATTGGGAGGCACAAGCATAGTCCATGAGCTGAAATTCTGGAATCTGAGTAAATCTGCTGGGTAGTCCAGCTAGAAGGCAGTTGTGAGAAGAACTGAGTCTATAATTCCATTCTTCTAGGAATAGTCATTCCTGAGAAACCCAGACTGAGAATTGTTGAGAGAGCGCCAAATTTGCCTAAGGTTAGGCGAGAGTTTAAGAATTTGCGTGACATCCGAGGTCCTTCTACAGAAGCCACAGAATTTACTGAAGGACAATATGGTATTTTGGTGAGTAAGAGTCGTCTTGGTGCGGTTTCATAGTCGAATAAAACAAAAGTATGAGACGATAGCAATTGGATGTGAAAGAGGAGATCCCCTCTTGCAATTTTCAGACAATTTATCTAATCATGGTCTTTCTTACCTGAATTATAAAAATCTCCTCCTCCCCGCGCGCCTGCAGGCTATGAGTGGTGGCTATCTCCGCTGGACTCACTTTGAAATGATGCGCCTGAGTATTAACCGGCACATGAATTCCAAGACAATGTTTGCTGTGTGGAGAGTCCCTGCTCCATACAAGCCCATTACCCGGAAAGGACTAGGACACCGCATGGGTGGTGGGAAAGGTGCAATTGACCACTATGTTTCCGCAGTGAAAACAGGTCGACTCATAGTGGAAATTGGTGGGCACTGTGAGTTTGCTGAAGTGAAACACTTCCTAACTCAAGTGGCCAAGAAGTTGCCTTTCCAAGCCCAAGCAGTCAGCAAGCAAACCCTTCAAGAGATGCGGGACAGAGAAGAGGAGAGGCAGCGTAATAACCAGAATCCATGGACGTTTGAGCGCATTGTTACCGCCAATATGCTGGGAATACGGAAATATCTGAGCCCCTATGACTTACAATACAAGGGTCGCTACTGGGGCAGGTTCTACCTGCCCGACAGGGTATGAGCGAAGACTTGTGGAACCTGATTTGCTCCAGCAATTCTTTGGAAACCTTGTCTTTCTCAACAGAAGATATTTGTGGGTGAAGCAACAAGTGAGTGGCTCTATATGTGAAAGTCTGATAAATATGGAGGGTGATGGAGTGGTGATGATGATGTAGAACTTGGGATCCATCAACTCAGCATGGAAGCTTGCTACAGTGTTTGACATTTAGACCAAGATCACCTGGCCTTGGATTAATCTGACAAATTCCAATGCATCTTTGAATTGGGAAGAACAGCGGAGACAGAATTCCCAAAGTCTGGTTTAAATATTTGAATGCCTAATGACTTTGGTAAAGAAATTATCTTCCATGATTCCTTTTAAGGCTGGAGGCATTTTTCCTGTAAGCCAGATATAGGCCACTGGTCAGGGGGCACACTGGGCATTTTGGAACATTTTATGGGAATTATTTCCTATTCACAAAATGGCTGCTCTTTCCCAAAATAATATTTTTCAGAAAGCAAACCAGTGAAATCACCCCCCAGCCTTCTAGTATACCCTTGTCTTTGGGCAAGTGTGCACCTCC